CAGTTAAACAGTTTCTTACCTCCTCCCTCTGCCATGGTGAGGCTGTGCTTTTAAGAGATGTATTTCATAAAACTGAAACCCAAGTCCTACATCAAGCAGAGTCTCTCTGTGTCAGACATAGTTTGTTCTAAATTTAATCTGGTCAAAATAAGCTTTAGGTGGTGCTTTCAGAGTCAACAGTCCAAAAAAAAAAGAGAAAAGAAAAAATCACCACATCAGCATTAGCCACAGAAAGTCATTGTGGGTTTTCTCCTAGAGGAGTGGCTAACGTGCCAGTTGTGGGCCACATGTACTTCTCCAGGGCACCTAATGTGAACTTAGTTCAATACTTGATATGGAAGCAGAAGTGCTTGTAAGTAAATATTATATAATTATATTCCATAAATATAGAACACCTTTCACCAAAGGTATCTCAAAATCTTACAGCCTGGTAGGTCTCACAACACCCCTTTCCTGTGGCTATTACTTCCATTAGACAAAATGAGGCACAGAGGACATCAGTGACTCGCCCAAAGTGTCTAGTGCCCAAGTGACAGAGCCACACTCTGTTCTGACTCTCAGTGCATAGTTCTGCCTACCAGACCACATATCCTCCTTTTAGAAGTGACCATTAAGTCATCTGCTTCCATTTTCTTCTCTTGCCACCAATTAAGGGACAGAGCCAGGACAAGAGCTCAATACAAAGGATTGTTCTGCATCAAAAGGAATTGTATGATATGAACTACAATGGGCAGATGAGCGGAGTCAGCAGAGTTTTATCAGTAAGTAAAACAGTAGCCAAATCTATTAGAGCAAAGAGCCCTAATTCACAGTGACTGTGCCAAAAAGTTTTCTGCCTGGCCTCTGACCAGAATCAAATCACCTCAGTACTTCAGTACATTCCTTTTATTTGGTGAGCAATACAGACAGCATATACATGAAGCACAAGGGTGCAAGTTTCCTTTATGCATGCCCCAACACCAGACTTCATTAATGATACATTGGATTGCAGGTAATATGCACCTCAAGCAAGGACTATGTAGCTTTCAAAAAAATTGATGCTAAACACAAATTCCAAGAAATATAGTGAAGACTGTACTTTGCAAACAAGGGACCTAAACCACCTTAACTCCCCCCCATAGAGTCGTCAGCCTATAACCTACTCAGCATACAAGAAAAAAATTGAAAATGTGCTCCACACCACATTGGTTTTATAATTTGCTTCATCCATTTATGTCTCAAGTATCAAGCATGAAGCTCTGTCACCACACAAGCCTTTGCTCCTCTCCAGAACGTGTTCTAATTCTGTTGTTCTCAAACTGTGGTATGCATACCGCTGATAACAGGTGGGTTAGAAAACCGCACTAGTAAATCATCAGCAGAAGGATCCTTCATAACTACACTGATTAAAATCATAAAAGCAGTATTGCAAAGCACTTTGGAATTTTAGATATGGGATGCTGACTCTTGAAGTTTGAGAACTGCTGCTCTGATTTCATGATCTGAGTTCATGAAGTTGGTATATAGAAACACGCTGTGTTCCATGTTAAACACCTGCATAATTGGCTGTTACATGAACTCTCAGTCCTGTAAGGTGTGTAACATTTCCCCCTCTCCCTGTGTAAGGTATTGCAAACCAAAAAGTAGCAGAGGAAAAGTAATGGAATGTGAGTGCTGGAGTAGGATTTCTTCTCATATAATTTTAAAAGAATACTGTACAAAATTCTACTGCATGTATAATGCCATAAAGTATGGCCTATGTTGTTACAAATTAATTATACCACTGAAAAGTAACTGAAACATCAATTTACTTAACAGGAAAAAAACCTGCCATGAATGTATATGGAGTTGAGGACAGAGATGCTATATTTTACATAATGGCAGCCCATTACTTTAGTTCTCAGTCAGTGAGTTTGTTTTAGATCATAAGAACGGCCATACTGGGTCAGACCAAAGGTCCATCAAGCCCAGTATCCTGTACTCTAACAGTGGCCAATGGCAAGTGCCCCAAAGGGAATGAACAGACAGGTTATCATCAAGTGATCCATCCCCTGTCACCCAATCCCAGCTTCTGGCAAACAGAGGCTAGGGACACCATTCCTGCCCATCCTGGCTAATAGCCATTGATGTACCTACCCTCCATGAATCTATCTAGCTCCCTTTTGAACCCTGTTATAGTATTGGCCTTCACAACACCCTCTGGCAAGGAGTTCCAGAGGTTGACAGTGTGTTGCATGAAAAAGTTACTTTCTTGTGTTTGTTTTAAACCTGCTACCTATTAATTTCATTTGGTAGCATTTTATTTTACAGTCAGTCTTAGGTTCCCACATGGTGCTGAGAGGGATGGCAAAATCTATGATTATTTGAAATTGGTATTTGCAAGGGAAATATGAGAAATAAAATAACTTTGCCTACCCAACAATCCCTTTACCTACCCAACAATACAATGAACTGTATACACAGCCTGTATCTGCACTTACCATCCATATTTTGTTTCACTGTAAAGTTTAAAAATGGGTTCCAGAACTTATTAAATTATTCCATTCTGTAATCTATTCCATAAATTATTTTCAAACAAGTTGGTGACTACAAGATCCATTAGAAGTGCCTTTATGGGCAAGTCATTCCCACCATTTCAGTGCCGTCACTGGATTCTTATAGCAAATCATTAAGTGGCCAGATATCCATTTTAACTTGGATTTATAGACTCAGCTCCCCCCAAGTACCAAGCAGAATTTAGACACATCGATCTCAACTTATTCCTTCCCCCACCCCCAGCTACTTCTCCCCATTATTAATGCCATTTTGCTCCACAGCATTTTAGTCAAACCTTTCTGCTGCTCTCAAAATGCAGTCATCTAAAAATCTCCAAATAATTCCAACACGTTACTGCCTCTTAATCCAATCTTGCTCATAGGATGAAAGTCCAATATGGCTTATGGAACATTTTAAACTGCTTTAATGCCATGTCTTGCAGTTTTAACATTTTTCCTAGACTTTGATCTAGTTTTCATCTGTGCTTTGTAAGTTTAGGCCCCAGTACATTTTAGATAAATTGCAACTATGGTTATCTGATTTAACAGGAAAAAATGCTGGTGCTTGATGTCTTTTATGCCTATATTCTATTTGCAGCTGTTCCATTTGTCAGTGGTGATTCTTGCACTCATTTCCCTAAAATCTTTCATAGGGTCCTCTACATTCTAATATTGCTGATGAACATTGTAATTAAACTCTATTTTTGCATGTAGTTTACTAAACCTGTGAGATTACCTTTATCAAGCAAATCAATATTTTACACACTCCAACTTCAATCCATTTTGCAGTGCATCAAAAATTCATTTTTTTTTTTTCCTTCTTAAGAGTCACAATCTAAGCAAGGCCTGCCTGGAACTGTGAATTTTTAATGAGATGACAAACTGTTGGTAAAAACATGGTATTTAAATAACTCCAAAAGTTCAGAGTGTACAAAACATCAGAAATTCTTGTTACAAGTGCATTAAAACCACAAGGAAAGAGGAAATGTAGAGTTATTTTTCCATTTTCCAGCCGTTTCCATGTACAATAACAAATTAGGTTTACACACTCCTCAAAACTACATCCATTTTGAAGTTCTAGTGAGGTCATCAACTTAAACTATTTTAAATCAATGTAATTTCTTCCCCACAGTGTTGCCACTATAAAATCACAGTTAGCCAAGATCCCTCTTCTGCCCCAAAGGACCAGAAACAGGAGAAAGGTAGTGGTAGGAAGAGAGTAAAACTCCAGATGTTCGATGCATACATTAAACCTATGCCTCACAGGGTATCTGAGATGCAATCACAACTGCGCCCCCAGTTCTGTATTATTTACAGAGCCTCACATACAGTGATACATAACTGCAACTATACATCAGGCAAGAAAGACCAACAAAATAATTAGGTGTAATAAAGTATCTCTAAGGCTGGAGGATATTAGTTTCTCATAGTAGCTTAGCGTTTGTGTCGACAAGCCATGACATAACAGCAAGCTGAGGTAGGAATCTACCCCACATTAGCCTGCAGCCACCTAACTGTCCATGTGCTCCTGCTGATGCATGCTAAGAGTTTGTTGTAGCACTATGATCTAGTCCCCTTAGATAGCATATTAACAAGCTGTTAACACATGAGCAAGGTGCACACAGATTATTCGGTTTCAGAGTGGTAGCCGTGTTAGTCTGTATTAGCAAAAACAACTATGAATCCTTGTGGCACCTTAGAGACTAACAAATTTATTTGGGCATAAGCTTTCGTGGGCTAAAACCCACTTCATCAGATGCACAGAGTGAAAAATACAGCAAGCAGTATAAATATTACAGTACATGAAAAGATGGTAGTTGTCTTACCAAATTGGGGGGGCGAGGTCAGTGCTAAGGAGGCCAATTCAATTAAGGTGGACATTGCCCATTTCCACACCTTCTTGTCAACTGTTGAAAATAGGCCACTTCCACCTTAACTGAATTGGCCTGGTTAGCACTGACCCCTCACTTGGTAAGGCAACTCCCATCTTTTCATGTGCTGTAATATTTATACTGCTTACTGCATTTTTCACTCAATGCATCTGATGAAGTGGGTTTTAGCCCAAGAAAGCTTATGCCCAAATTTGTCTCTAAGGTGACACAAGGACTCCTCGTTATATAAAATTAGGTGGCATCAGGCTACCTCAGGGCAAATTCACCGCCCAGTCTGCGGTGGTCTAATTGGCCCTGTACAAAAGGCCTTAGTTTCTTCATAGGTCAGACTTTTCCAGAGATCTCAGTTTCAATTTAAGTATCAATTATTGAGTAGATTTTCAAAAAGTTTGCCACCTCAGTGTCACAATGGCGGTAGAAATCCAACCCCAGCTGTGGGGCCTGAGCAATTGAAAATCTGGCCCAGAAGTCTTTTGAAGAATCTGGCCTCAGAGGGGTATCTTGTTTGGTTGCAAATAGGAATCATCAGAAACTTGAGGGATTTTGCTCTTTCCCTACCCCTTCTGTTCCTCTATAAAACACACCTGTTACCTACCTGCACAGCCAAAAGCCAGATGGTATCTAGAAGAGGGGCTGAATTTGACACAACACACATTAGCCTTGGCCTCAATACTTGCAACTGAATTATCCAGGTTGGTAGACCACAGCTTCACTGAGGAGAAAAAACAAGAGAGGCAGAAATAAGTAAGTGAGGCTGAAAATGCTTTTTGAAAGATTTAAAAACATGGTCAGTACTCAAACAGGCTCCCACTTGTCACACACTTGCCTGTAGGGATTTTCATGATTATTAATATCTTTGAGAGGGTGAACAAAATTAGTGGATACAAAAAGACGGCTTTTGGTTGATGATCAATTTTCAGCGCAGTCTCAAGCACAACAGTAGTTTACCACTTCTACACACAATATTACAGGATTCAAGCCTGCATTCCTTTGGAGTTTGGAACCTCATGCAGGTGTCTAGCTGCGTATTGTAATCACAGTACGCCCAAGGCTATTGGACTGCAGACTTGTATAACCAAGAGCAATGAGGCTGATATTTTACCTACTCTGTCATCCAGCTGTGCTCTGAAGAACTCCTGTTCAGTGCGCTCAGTTGTAACCACTCTGCATAGATTTCATTTAAATGTACCTGTAAGCACAACTAGTAAGAACAATTTGTTTTCCATTCTTCAAAGTTTGGTACCAGGAGAAAAAAAGCTGCACCGGGGTATAACCTGTCACTACTTTTTATTGTTACATTTTAATTCAATCCATGTGAATGACTATTGTGTAGAGGTAAATATAAATAAAGATTAATCTGTACTGGACTACTCTACAAGGGGAAATGGTATGCACAAACACTCACATACATGTGATTGTATTTTAAGCCTGCTTTGACAGGCCTCTTTCACAAATAAGAAGCGATGGAGAGTCTTTGAGGCCCTTCAGTTTTTCACATTTAAGGTACCCATTTAACTCACAGCTTTGCCAGGAGCCCAGAGGAAACGGTGTTGCGTTTTTGCACTCTCCCAGGAGCAGCCCAGGAAGCAGACTTATTCTAAGAGTCAGAATATACCTCCTGATTTTCCCCTTTTGCTCTAGTGGGGGATAAGGCAACTACGTATTGAATAGTGGTCACACAGAGAGGCTGTTCTCCCCAGACCATGTATGAAAACAGACAGGGCTCACATAGACTTGCATGTGACAGGTCCTCTATAGACAGATCTCCCTCCTCTGTATGGAAGGGGTACTCTGGTGCCTCTGTGGAGGGGAAGGGGAAGCCATGTGGTGATACAAGAGAGGGCTGACCAGGAAGAAGGTGGGGAAAAACACCACTCTGCTTTGGCTCCAAGAAAGATATACAAAAATATTGCTACAGCCCCAGTCTATTAGCTTTTCCCCAGGAGCTTCGGGGGAGCAGGAGAGGCATAGCCTCTAGACAGATGCCTATAGAACCACTACGCTTGGGGACAGCTTATCCACAGGAAGGGTAGTGGAGTCTCTCCCCCCCCCTCCTTTTTTTTTTTAAATAGTTCACACGAAGGGAGGGGAGGGAGTGCTGCTCCTCGCATGCCCTAATTCTGGCCATCTTTGAAGGACTGTTTCAAAGATGAGAGAAACCGCAATGCTTTGAGCATATTGATGCATCCTTTAAAAACAGCACAGTGGGAATATCTGACAGATACCTGGAGCCATTACTAAGTATCATATATACCCAATCAAACGCAGATGTTGATACATATGACATTTGCATACAATAATTATGAAAAGAGATAGATTACATACACCTATCAGTTTTCAGACAGTAATAATCCATTCTCTTATTTACCAAAAGCCTAATATACATTATAAACAACCAGCTACATTAAAAATAATGAACAGCTTTGCAAGGATGACCTGGACCTTCTCTTGTTCCAAGTGACACTAGATGATCTAGTGCCTCATCTGAAGTCAGGGGGTAGGAGAGAATTTTTCAAGCAAATAAAAGCGTTAGCTTCTCGCTTTAAAGAAGAGATGCCAACAGAAGCGCAGTGTATGTCGCAGTGACAGCAGAGGACATTAGCATTATTGATCTGATGGCAGAGGAAGCAAGTAATTCTGATTTCTCTGGTTTAAAAAAAACATAATGACTGCCGACAATGTGATTGAAAGATTGAAAGCTATAGGGTCTATGGGTATTTGTGGGAGTCAAATGAACACATAGCTCATAGTAGTGCCACTCACAAATGTATGTCCCATGCAGCCACTTGTTTTGAACGCTCATTAGGCAGCCTTCCAACTAAGTTCTACAAGTTAGCAACTGTGTTCAATATGGGCAATTCTCTTTTTGGCACTACATCAATATAAAAAACGGTTACTTTCTCGTAACTGTCGTTCGTTGAGATGTGTTGTTCACGTCCATTCCACATTAGGTGTGCGCGCACCGCGTGCACGAGCGTCGGAAACTTTTTCCCTTAGCAGCTCTCGGCAGGCCCCCCGAGTGGCGCCACTGCACCCCGCATATATACCCCCGCCAGCCCGACCCCCTCCAGTTCCTTCTTGCCAGCGACTCCGACAGAGGGGTAAGAGGGCGGGTGCTGGAATGGATGTGAACACCACATCTCGAAGAACAGTTACGAGAAAGTAAGTAACCGTTTTTTCTTCTTCGAGTGCTTGTTCACATCCGTTCCACATTAGGTGAATTACAACCTTACCTCTGGAGGAGGATACGAGTCATGGAACAACTGCTTGGAGGACCGCTCTGCCAACTGCCGCCTCCTCTCTGGCCTGCTGGTTGACCGCATAGTGGGTCGTGAAGGTGTGCACCGAGGACCAGGTGGCTGCTCTGCAGATCTCCTGGATCGGGACCTGTGCCAGGAAAGCCGTGGAAGTCGCCTGCGCCCTGGTCGAGTGGGCCGTGACCGGAACACCTGTGAGCTCATAGCACGCCTGGATGCAACTTGTAATCCAAGACAAAATCCACTGCACCGACACTGGGAGGCCTTTTAACCTCTCAGCCACAGCCACAAACAGCTGCGTGGATTTGCGAAAGGGCTTGGTGTGCTCCAAATAGAATGCCAGTGCTCGACGCACATCCAAGGTGTTCAAGCTGCAGTGACTCCGGTCCGTATGGGGTTTTGGGAAGAACACCGGCAGATAAATGTCCTGACCCAGATGGAATTGGGACACCACCTTAGGGAGGAACTTAGGGTGTGGCCGGAGCTACACCTTGTCCTTGTGAAATACTGTGTATGGTGGCTCAGAGGTGAGGGCCCTCAGTTCGGACACCCTTCTGGCCGAGGTAACGGCAACCAGAAACACCACCTTCTAGGAAAAGTGGAGGAGAGAACAGGTAGCGAGGGGCTCGAAAGGGGGTCCCATGAATTTAGAAAGGACCAGGTTAAGGTTCCATGGAGGGACTGGGGGGCGGGAGTACAGGAACACCCTCTCCAACCCTTTAAGGAACTGTCCCACCATTGGGTGGGAAAACACCGAGACCCCCGGATGGAAGGTGGAGATGGCTTCCAGGTGCACTCTGAGTGAGGATGGGGCTAGCCCTTGCTGCTTGAGGTGCAGGAAGTATTCCAGAATGGCCTGCACCAGGGCCTGGCCCAGCTGCACCTGTCGGGGTTCATACCAACATGAGAACCTTTTCCACTTGGCCATATAGGCCACCCAGGTAGAGGGCTTTCTACTGCCAAGCAGAATCTGCTGCACAGGAAGGGAGCACTGGCTCTCTAGGGCATTTAGGCAGAGCCTCCACGCCGTCAGGTGCAGTGACTGCAGGTCGGGGTGGAGAAGCCGCCAGCCGTCCTGTGTAATGAGGTCCCGGTGTCGGGGCAAGACTACTGGGGTGTCCACTGACAGCTCTAGGAGCTATGTGTACCAGTGTTAGCGGGCCCAGGCTGGGGCAAGGAGGATCACCGCCGCCCTGTCCCTGCGCACCTGGAACAGGACCTTGTGCACCAAGGGGAGCGGGGGGAAGGCATACATCAAGCCCCCTCTCCACGGGATCACAAATGTGTCCGTGAGCGAGCCCGGGCTGCAGCCCTGGAACGAGTAGAACCGCAGGCACTGGGTATCGGATCTGGTGGCAAACAGATCTACCCAGGGAAACCCCTACCTGCGGAAGCGCGAAAGCACGACATCCGCCCTGAGCGTCCACTTGTGCATGTGGTTCGACCTGCTGAGGGAGTCTGCCTGCTTGTTCCACACCCCCGGGAGATACCCCATGCGATTCACCTCGAGGCATCCTATGCAAAGGTCCCAGAGGAGGATAGCCTCGCAACAGAGTGGCGAGGAACGAGCCCCGTCCTGCTTGTTTATATAGAACATGGCAGTAGTGTTGTCTGTCAGAACTGTCACGCTGTGACTACTCAGAGTGGCATGAAAGGTCTGGCAGGCGAGACGAACCGCCCTGAGCTCCTTCACATTGATATGGAGCAATCGCTCTGCCTCGGACCACAACCCCTGCGTCATGAGGTCCCCCAGGTGAGCCCCGCATCCGTGGTCTGACACATCTGTCACCAGCGTCAGGTCCGGAAGTGGGGCAGCAAAGGGGATACCTTTGCAAACCACAGGCTGGGACTGCCACCACAGCAGGGAGTCCAGCACACCCCTTGGGATTGTCACTACCAAGTCCAGGCGGTCCCTATCTGGGTGGTACACCCGAGCGAGCCATGCCTGCAGAGTCCTGAGTCTCAGTCTGGCACGCCTGACCACGTGCATGCATGCTACCATATGGCCCAGCAGCCGCAGGCAGCACCTGGCTGTTGTTGTTGGAAACTGGCGCAGGGAGGCCACTGCTTGTTGGATAGCCCAAAATCGGGATACCGGAAGGCTTGCCCTGGCCTGCACCGTGTCCTGGACCGCCCCTATGAATTCCACTCTCTGTGTGGGTACGAGCGTGGACTTGGGGATGTTGACCAGGAGCCCCAGCTCACGGAACAATCTCAGGGCCAACCTCCACATGGCCCCGCACCTCCGCCTCGGATCGGCCTGCCAGGAGCCAGTCGTCGAGGTACGGGTACACTTGGATTCTCTGCCTCCGTAAGAAGGCCACCACCACCGCTATACACTTTGTGAACACCATTGGGGCCACGGCTAGACCGAACAGGAGAACCGCAAACTGATAATGTTCTCTGCCCACGGTGAAGCGTAGGAACCACCGATGTGCTGGGAAAATGGCGATAT